CCATTGAACGTTTATTTTCACGGCGGTGGCTTCCGGTCTTGCGGGCCTGACAACAACGCTTTCCATGATCTCTGCACTCAGCTAGCGTCAAGGATTCCAGTTGAAACTTGTAGACAAACTGAACCGTGACGTTTTTGCATGAGATCGCTGACCTCAGCAAGTGCTTCGTCATGGGAGATAGAGCCGGAGGCAACATAGCCCATCACGCCACGATTCGGGCCCTTAAGAACGGCAACTGGTTCGAGAAGTTAAAAATCGAGGGTGTTATCGGGCTTCAACCGTTTTTCCGTGGCGAGGAGAGGACAGATTCGGAACTCAGGCTGACACGTGCGCCGATTACTGATGTGAAACTCACGGATGAGTGCTGGAAAATTTTCTGCCAGATGGGACCAATAGGAACCACTGAGCGGCCCATGCGGCTGGTCGGACTCTGGGGCGGCTGACGAGCTCAAGGAATTGCCTGAGTTTGCCTTTGTTACATGAAGAGGTCGTGAGTTTCATCCGAAAACAAGAAAGTCCCGACTGAAGCTTCATATTGTAGACATAAAACTTTGCTTCTTGGTTGTAGCCTTATGCATCTAGCAAAAGAGAGCAGAGAATTGTGATTGAGATTATAACTATGCATATTTCGTTCCATATTCATTCTTTTTGAGTAATGATGTGAAGAGAACCAGAATACTAATAAACTCGATTAACTAATTGTAATGACGAACCTTGTCAATTGCCTGGACCTGCCCCTAGTGTGATAAACAGGGGTTTTTCATTCTAAAACTACAAAATGCTACTATCTTCGTAACCAAAATCTCGCATCTCGAGCAGAAGCTTCTCACGTAGAAACAAGTAAATCTCTTTCATTTCAGGGTGAGACTTGTCACCAACCAAGAACACATGAATCCTGCCATTAACCTCAATCTGACTGTATCCGGGCACTTTGTTAACTTCCCTCTCCTTCATCTTCTTCCTCAATTCTGAAAATTTGTCCCATTTCCCACACGAGGCATACAAATTACCCAGCAGAATGTATGCACCAGATCTAGCCGGCTCGAGTTTGATTAGCTCGTCGCCTATATGATCAGCCAACTCATCATCTCCATGCAGCCTGCAGGCACTAACCAAAGCCCCAAGGACCACACCGTCGCATTTATCCGGGGGCATCTCATTCACCACCTTCATAGCCTCATTAACGAGCCCAGCCCGCCCGAGGATATCGACGAGGCAAGAATAGTGCTCGGATGTTGGCTCCAGACCATAAGCACTCCTCATGGAGTCGAAAAGCATACGACCTTTTCTCACGAAGCCCGCATGGCTAC